GGCCTCAAATCTGCACTATAGTTTGATCAGCTGCCCTTCGTTGACACATATTCTTTGAGGCTAGCTTGGCGTGTCAGCCTGTAAGCCAGTTTTGCATGTCTGTCTATTGAATCAAAGTGTGCATTCGTCACTGCCAACTGATTAAGTCCAAAGAGTATATTTATGGAGTTATGCTGTCATCATTGGAATAGCAAAGGATAATTGTAATTGTGTTTGAGAAATACAATAAGGGGAGCAGAGTTTCCATTAGCCGGTAATTACCGGGCTTATGTGACCGACCGGAATAGTATGTGACAGACGAGAAGAGTCAATTCTAATGTCTAACATTTAATGTGGCGAAAGTATGGGTTGATTGTGCGTTGATCTGTTGGTAATGCCTCGGGGTTCCTGTGGGCATGTAAACAAATGCATAATGCTGCGCTATACTTTGCAGCCTCACCCGGTTGCATAGCGAAGCTTATTGTTTAGGTGTCTTTTAATAAGCAGGTAGTCATCATTAGCTAGAAGAACTTGCTAGATCTGATCGATATGGACATAAACGCGAGTGAAGTCTAATCTGACGGGGGAGAGAGAGATCAGCTGCTGCTGACGAGTCGACACGCAGCTATGCGTAATCACCTGTAGCGGTGAGCGGAGCAAAACACACTTCAGGTTAAAATATCACACGTAGCTATTTTAATTACCTCTCAAACTACCTAAACTAGTTATATTATGTTCATTTGTACTGTCGGGTCACTCATTACTGGATCCGCGAGCTGCATGATACCGACGGGCTGTCAGGAGAGGGAGAGAGCGCTCCGTTTATTATTCCCGTGTTATAAGTCACTGTACACTTTTGAATAATGTAATCTACTATAATTAGTTTGTTTAATATCGAATCATATATATTTGTTTTAAAGCTCAATACATAACAAAGTGAAAATTCTAACAGAAACTCTGAAGGGGAGCTCAAGGAAAAAGCCCTAAAACATCAAGCCATCATTATGTACAACTTACATTTTAAGGAGAATATTTTATGCTAAATTCCAGGTTCATATTTTTATCTTGTGCCTCTACTGTGACATGTTAACATGCTTTAATGTTCAAAAATGCCTTTATTTCTCATACTGCCTGTGCTGGAGCACCTCTTTTCACCCTCTGTCTGTATGATTGTTCAACTGCTTAGAGATTTGTCCGAACTCTTAATATATCACTTACAATGTGTTGGAGCGTGGATTCCAATGATAACTATCAATTGAGGTAATGTTGTTTAGCGTCAACTAAAAATAAATGAAATATGTCTTAGCATTTACTTCTCTCCCATTATATTCAAACTTGAATTGAATGTTGGTTGTTTCATTGCTGGATTATGTTTGAAATAGATTTAGGATGAGACATATAAGTGTGTAACCTGACATAGATGTTCACTTTTAACCTCGAAATGTTTTATAACTGAATAAATCATCAAGATGTTGGTAAAGTAAAGGCAAAAGAGCAACACAGAATGATGTGAATCGACCCTCTTCTCATCGTATTATTTCATCTCAGTCCATAAAAAAACAAAACAATGAACAAACAATGCATGCCTGCAGAAAGAAGAGTATGTACCTTCTTTGACCAGGTTCTCATTGAAGAGGCTACTGAGAATAGCTGCAGACAGATTGCTTTTGGCAAGCAGAATTCCTGTTAGCATGGCTAGCTTGTTGCGCTCAGACTCGGTGAAGCCCTTGAGAAACAGCAGCAGCTGACAAAGAGAAACAAATATATAAAGACATTCTCAAGGCTGAATCGAGTCAGAAATATGAGCAAACTTTTTACATTTGAGTTGGAATAACATGGTTTTAAATGGACCTAGACAGGTTGTGTTCTTGTAAAGATGCACTACCATAGACAAACCTTTTTAATCTCCTCCTCGAAACCTTTCTCCAAGTATTTGTAACGCCTGATGAGCTTGTTAAAGACCTACAGGAAGCATAAGACATATTTATATATATAAAAAAAAAATACAATGATAAAAGAAGCAATGATAAAAGTGAAACATTAGCAGGAAATTGAAGGTATTCACCTGGGCATATGCCTGCATGGTCTCCATGTCCTCTTGTGCTTTGAAGAGGCAAAACTCTGTCCGGGTCAGGTCGTCCGACAAGGTTCCACCTGGGGCTAAAGAAAGAAAATAAAGGACACTTGCTATATTCTGCCAGTTTGATGCTTCATAGCGCCAATGAGTTAAAGGTCCCATGTCATGGCCATTTCCCCTGATCATAATTCCATTGTTGAGG